AACATCCAACAAAGACGGAGGCTACGTTCGGATAAGCCAGAAGACAGAGATCAAATATCCTCACGGAGGAGTTGGGAGGTAAGTGAGCATTCACGCTTCGGCATTAACGAGCCTCGCGCTGTCGTGAAAACGCAGGCTCGTATAAGTGCTGGAAAAAGTGGCGGCCGGGCCGTAAAATAAAATCGATTTTAAGTGCCGGGGGCGCGAGCGGATTAGAGTTCAGCAAACGGTATCCCCCACCCCCGCCCTCAAGCGTGTTTCGTACAGTACAAGTTCATTGTGCGCCGGGAAAATACGACGGGATTGTCGCGAGCACCGCGCCATCTCCATCTCATTGAATGTGGTGAATGAGCGCTCGCGCGCACACGCGCCGATCTAATAGCGCTCAGAGGATTTACAGTTACTATAATTCAACATTATGAATGTCCGACGGCGCGTTTCCTCGTGCTCTTTTATTTAATTTTTTGCCACCTCCTCCGGTTAATGCGCTTTAACTAATCGTAAATTTGAAATGCCGCCTCGCGCAAAATGGCACTTCCGGCGCGCATGATTTACACGCGATTAATTAATAAAAATTAGCGCTCCTACATGTATTTGATGCATTATCGGCTCGATGTTAAGTAATCCGAGTGCATAATGATTCGACCGAGTGTGCTAAAAATTATCCTATTATGCGTTACTCGGAGCTCGTTATGTGTGCGCTCGCGTAAACTATGTTTCATTAGAATGGCCATTGCTAATGTTATCCAGCGCCTCGGAGGAAAGTATACACAGAGCGAGCAAAATGACGTTTCTTTTAAACAAATGAACATTAATTTCGGCTTTCGTTAATAATTTGCGGTAAAATATGAAAGAGAATACGTGAAAATTAAACTTATAATTCGGAAACGCTGGTTTGTTTTTTTTTTCTTTTCAATTGGTTTTTGGTTTTTGGTTTTTGTTTTTTTTTTTTTTGTTTGTTTGGCTTTCTTCTTCTTCAAATCTTCTTTCTCCTGCGTTTGAAATTCGTCGCCGTTTTGGTTGCACTTCGAGCCGAGGGGCCTTGAATCTCGCGATTAAAATTTTCAACAAACGAGGCAATAATGGCAAATCTGTTGGAATTTCACTCGATGCGAACGCGAATTGCCAAACAAACGAGAATGGACAAAGAAGAAAAAAAGGAAAAACAAATATCGTAAAAATATTTCTAATGTACGATCGAGCGTTGGAACACATTAAATAGGAAAAATTCGCGCTAATCCATCTCCTTGACTAGTGCACATTTTCGTAACATCGTAATCGCGCGTGTAATAGCGGTGCGATTGAACAAATTTTTTTGCTCGAGGTCAAAAATTGTGAAAAACGCGACAATGTAGGAAGTAAAATTCACAGGAAAATCAATCTTCGTTGCCCAGTAATGAGGGGAACGAGCGTAATCGTACAGCCAACCTCCAACGCGGAGAAACCATTGAATTATCTAACTACGCATTGAGAATATATGGGACCGATAATATTACCTCTCGCGGCCGAAATAAAAATACAAATGGAGAAAAACAGCGAGTGGCAGGGATAAAGAGACGGAACGCCAGTGATGATACAATTGAGTCGGAAGATCTCCGGTCGCGAGCGCGCACGCGCACATATTAGCATATTAGGAAACTCCGGCAACGTGTAGATCGCGCTCTCGGCAAGTCTAAGAAATCAATGTAATCTCAACCTCTAATCGGCGCTCGCTCTCGCGATCGACGTTGCTCACATGCCGCGCGGTCTTGTGCCGCCCGCAAACTCACTCGCGCACACTCTCTGTCTCGCTCTCTCAATCCCGCCTGCTCGCGCAATAGCGAAAAGTGAGCCGGCGATTGCAAAGGAGCCTGGAGGCCGCCCGAGGCATTCGCTCGTTCCCCGTCGGCCGAAGCTTTTGACACGCGGAAACGCAACGCGGCTCGCGCGCACAGGTGGACGACCGCCTGGAGCTTTGGATAGGGGCTGGTGACTCGGACGCCGCTCCGGGTAATTAGCACGACTTTCGGGTGAAAGGCAAAGCCGGTAAGATCGATCGTGCCAATTTATTTTGGCTGCTCTATGTGAGCGGTGAATATGTATTTTCACGATTTCTTCGAACGAATCGAGAATTGGAGTATCGATTTGGTAACCAATCCCGATAATCTTAAGCCGAACATATTAATAAGCAATTTTAATATGAATTTATTTGACTTCGAAGATTTAGCGGCTGCTACTCTTTTCTTTTTTTTCTTTTTCTTTTTTTTTTTTTCTTTTCTTTCTATTGTTAATGACCTCGGCTGATAATTACGTGCGCGATTATGATCGTTTGAGAAGCGATTTTACATGTCAATGTTGCGCGTTCCTTATGATTAGTTTTTATTTTGATTTAGGTTACTTCTTAAAGCGAACTGTCTTGTCCCTGAGAGATGGGAGAAGTCACGGGGCGAAATAAATTGTACGTATGCCTTAAGATTTTATTATGCGATGGAATATTCTTATCGTTTTCAATGATAACACGATATAATTTCAAACTAGGCTTTTCCCTCTACGATCTTCATTATCATTCTATTTAGCAGATTAAATTTCAAAATTCACTAAATTCACTCCTTTAATTTGAGCAACAATAACTAGCGCTATTAATAAATACTTCGCATTCGATACTTCATAATGTCTTATTTCAGATAGATAAACGTCTATTCAGGCTAAAGACTACATTGACTCATTTTTGCAATATCGAATCGCCAATGTTGGCCTATTAATAATATATAATAATATATTAGAGTAAGAATGTACAATCGCCTTACATTCGAGATATCGAGTGCGCGTCAAATTTAATTTTTACTTTTCATATTATATTAATTTGATATTGTGATAAGCTAAATGCAGAATAATAATACGATTAAAGCACATATATAGGACGATGCCTACGTGTTCATTGATCTATAATGAATGTCTAAGTGTTGGAATGCACCTCTCCTTACTCTATGCACATCAAACAAAATTCAAATATTGGCATTATACATGTTCAACATCGACGGTTCGAGCATTATGATAAATCAGAGAATTGTACGAGATTGAAAAAGAGGAGAGATATTTTATTAAAATGTCTCTCAGAGCATCACGTAAAATATGTAATAAACGATACAATGTGTATTGTATACGTGTATTAATGAAATATGTTAGATGAAATTGTTTAGCGATTAAATTCGACTACCGACAGCCGATCTCGCCTTTGTTTTCCACCTCGTTATATTTAAACGAGCTCCCCCTTTAACGAATAACAACCACCGTGCACTAATGAGCCCCAGACATTGGCATAATTAACGTATAATGGCGCGGAATGAAATTTTTGTCGGTGTACTTCATCTCGTGCTATTAAGGAGAGTCGTATCAAGGCAAATGACTGAAAGTAATAAAGAAAAAAGAAGCGCAAGGATGAAATTAAAAATTTTTAAAGCCAACTTACGTCAACTCGCCACTAATTCCAGAGATACAACTTTCTCGGGCACAATAATGGCACTTAATCCACTTCGTTTGCCCATAAATCATTGCTCAAACGTATCTCGGCGAACGTCATCAACGGGCGCGAATAGGCACGAGCGAAACCGGCGCGCGTCGTATTATAACATTCTTACAACCCCCTCGGGCTATGATTTTACCCCTGGGGCCTTTTCGCCTTAACGGCCAATGTGAGAATTATTCACGTCGCAGGCTCGCGACTCGCCTAGCGCGAAATTAAGTGCAGTCGGGATTAGCTGCGCCGGCGTTACGTAAAATCTCGGCTCTCTTTGCGCTCGTCAAATCCGAATCAAGAGCGAATCAAGAGCGAATCAAGAACAATTTTTTCTCCCGATTTAACGGATCGCTCCGAGCGCCAGCTCCGAGCTACAGCTCTTTGAACTCGCTTTTTAAATGATTTTTTATTCACGACGTTGAGACTAGTAGGTCCCCTACCTCGGTCGCTAATAAAGCGCGATTAGCGCGTCAATCGCTCGCAGTGGGATCCTTGACTTCGTAATGACGTTTCGAGCCCGTGCAATTTGCACGTACGCTTAATTCTCCCCGGCTGCCCCTTTCTCACTCTTGCCTACTTTTAATGCAACGGCAAGACTCCGTTTAATTAAACGAGCGTTCACGACCATTGAACACACCGACGCGCCGCGATACTTGTGTCACGCTTGTCCCACAGCGCCCATGGGAAGAAAGGCCCATTTAATGGAATTTCATTTCATTCCGATATACAGCTTGGGAAAATCACGCCAAGTGTTCTCGCCCTACTTGTCTTTTACAAAATGCATTTAAAATTTCGTTCCCTGATGGCGCGGCGTCAAATTTTTCTCAGCGCAAAAAACACGAATGAGATCTCCCACAAATGCAAATGTTCGTGCGGTAAATTTGGAAATTTGGTCGTCTCTAGTGTTCCGCAATTCACGCTCCATCCTCGTGTAAAATGCACTTTTCGCCTAATCCGTCACTACGTCGCGAAATCCGTGCCTGCTGCGACTGGGAAGAAGAGCACCATTGGCAAAGTGTCTTAACGAGAGTCCTCCGCAGGTTCAATTCGAATTTCAACGCACATCGACGTAAAACAAAAAAAAAAACAAAAAAAAAACAAAAAAAACAAAAAAAAAAGCAACAATAAAGGAATATACTACGAATAAGAAATACACTTTTAACGGGGAAATTAAGTAGAAGCGGAGAGTTTTTATGGTGCGCAAGTATTTAAATACCGAGAGAGCAGTTAAAGCGACGAAAGAACAAAAATTATTTGTCCGCACGATGATCTATATAAAAAATAAAAATAAAAAGAATATGTTGACGTATTGGACGTAACGATACTTTCACTAGAAATTCCGACTTCGATACCCGGTGATAAGTCTTTATCGGGATTTTCGAATTTTCGTGAGAGGCGTTAAGTCCCCCCTACGGGGTGAGCCTTAAATTAAGCCAATCTCCGAACCCTCGTCGTCAAACCCCCTCCCACGAGCCCAACTCTGCAAAATAACGCTCGGACTTACCCGTCTTGGAGGCGAGAGCCAGTAGTAGCAAGAGGCTGTTGAGCAGGAGCATCGTTGCTTCCTCTGTTGCGTCCTCTGTTCCGTCCTCTTTTACGTCCTCTTTGGCTCAATCGACTGCCTGCCCTTAGCGTCGAGCTCGTCGATCAAGCAACGCTAATTGATTGGCAAAGGGATCTCTCGTACCTACGACCCGTCCCGTTGCTGACTGGTATTGCTCCCTAATTGGCAGGGATTATATTACGTACTAAATGTTAATTCGCAGGAGGGCCAAGCCAACTCGAGCTTAGCCGGCGATCGCGCACGAAAAGAACAAACGGCACTGGGCCTCGGGCAACCTCGGCTTAAATAGCGCGAGGGCGTGCTATCTCGGGGTAGTCGAGCGCGCGCGTCCCTTCAAAGTGTCCGCGAGGGGATCGCCGCCATTCGTTGTGCCTCTTACTCCCTCACCGTGGAGTGGCTTGCGCCGTTGTCGTCGTCGTCGTCGTCGTCGTCGTCGTCGTCGTTGTCGATGTCGCCGTCGCCGTCGCCGTCGTGGTTAGCGTTACCAGCCAGCTGACGCGCTCTCGGCTCGAGGAGAGAAAGGTGACTGGCTGCGTCGAGCGAGGCGTGCTCCTGGTACACCTAGCGGCTCTGCCCGACCGGGGCACGCGTTCCTCGCCTCCGTCCTGTACGTCCCGTCTGGTCTGGTCTGGTCTGCCTTTCTA